CCACACCCCTCTCCCTGCAGCACTTCTGCTTTGTTACGTGGTGGAACGCAAGCCTCTTTGAGCTCCTCAGAGAGAGGGATGGATGCAGGGGTTGAATTAAAGTCTTTTGAGAAATTAAGATATATTAAGCCACATAGATATGAAGCAGAAGTGTAGGTTTAAGTTTTAAGTAAGTACAAGTTACAGTTTTAAGTAAATAGAAATATATTTTAAGTACCTTAAGAAACTGCATTAGCTAGTAAAGGCCCTAAGGCCTAGTTTAAAGTTCAGTAACTTAGCTCCAGACATATCAAAAACATAGCAGAACTTTGACTGTGTCTCCAGAACAGACAGAACTACATGTGTAAACAGACAGAAGTATTCATGTTAATAGATAAACTTATACATGTAAATTTTAAGTAAGATAACAGATGGTATATTTGCGTAAATAGATAATATTGTCTACATAGTTTTTTTAGGTAAGAACTGACACTAGTTTCGTACTACATTCAAATATTAGAATTAAGTTTAGATTGGTTTTGAAAGAATGTTTTAGAATCGTGCTTTTAGCTGACTGGCTGTTTTGTGTACAAAAATCCCCCTGTATTAAAAGGAACAAGAAGAAGAAGACAAGAAGAAAGAAGGCTGTGGCTGTTTTGTGTATGAAAATCCCCCTCTATTAAAAGGAACAAGAAGAAGAAGACAAGAAGAAAGAAGGCTGTGGTTGCTGCTGCTGTTCCTGCACAAAGCCTGGGACTCTATACCAGAGAGCAGCTGTTGCAGCTGCAGCTCTTGCTTGGGATTCTATGCCAGAAAGCTTTTAGCATGGATTTTAATACTTTAGCATGGACTTTTAACACCTTGAACTCTTTGCCTTCGAGACTGATGTATTCATGCAATAAACAACTTTATAGCAAATGACAGCTGCTCTTGTCTCCTTGAAGACCCCAGACCCAAAACAGCCTCGACAGTTACATCCCCCGACCTCCTTCTGCTGGAGAAGCAACATGCCACGAGCAGAGGAGAGGTGTCCAGAGGGAGATCACTCACCTGGGAGCAGGCAAAGGTGAGCTCTGGATTGTGCTCCATCAGATGGACCACGGTGACCCAGCTCCGGGCGCACTTACGGATGGTCTCCTCGTAGGGCCACAGCCAGGCTGCAGGGACAGGCATGGCCCCACCATGGTTATTACCTAACACAAGCTCCCCACAGAGCTGGAACCTCTCTGAAACCCCTCCTGGGATGGGAAATCGAGGGCTGAAGCCCAACAGGTGGAAGACAGCAAGCTGTAATTCATCCCTCATGCCCAGTCCCATGAGTGTTCCAAAGGGAACAGACCCACACTGCCCCAGTGACAAACCAGCAATGTGGCAGCACAGAGAGCCCATTCCCTCCTCTCAAGGCGTGGTATCCTGTGCCTGGAGCCCAAGGGCAGCCTGTTCTCCCTTTGGGCAGCTCCCCCTGGCCTCCAGGTGAGAGGAGAGGGAGTGCTGTGCTGCTCTCACCAGAGTCAATGTGGCAGTGCCCCATGGCATGGATGGTGTGCTGGCTCTCGCCGTTCCTCTGGCTGAAGATGGCTGCAGCCAGGCCACGTGCAGCAGGGAAGGTGGAGGGGTCCGTAACATCACACACGTTGACCATCTGGTTGGCAGTGTACAGTGCCTGGAAACTCCTCTGGTTTTCCTCCCCGAGGAGCTGGGGTTGAGAGGGATAAAAGTATGACTGGCCACTGTACCAGCTCAGATGTCACCTGCCTCCAGGAGAACTTGCTACCTCCTTTCAACATCTGTCTCAGGCAGTCATAACAGGTAAACACCATGTCTCTGCTTCACAAGCACAGCCTTTTGCCTTTTCTCACATGCCTTCCAATTCCAGGTTCCACATATGCCCATTCCAGGGGACCTTGGTTAACATATCCTGCTTTGGAGCAGAAAGTGGATGAAAAAACACCTGGGGCTTCTCTCAATTCAGCTTTCTCCTACTCTAGAATATCCTGAGTTGGAAGGGACCCAGAAGGATCATCAAACCCAGACAGTGTCAATTGTGCTAAAGCAGAAGCAGCAAACGTTTTCTCCTCCAAGGTCTCAGGTCACAGAACAGCCAGAGGAGGAGATGCGTGAAGCTGAGGAAAAGGTGAAAGAAGGGAAGAAGAGCTCCCAGACCTGAGCCATGTCCAGCAGTATTTCCATATCCACCAGCAGTTCATAGACATCTCTGTTGAAGACAACCAGCTCAGCCTTGCTCAGGGTAACCCTCCTGTCTGGGTCTGGAGGGGCGATCATGCTGCCCTTGCCAGCTCCAAAGAGCCCATTGCAGGCCAGCTCCACGTACAGTGTCAGGCTGTGGGGACAGAGGAAACCATCAGGGAGCAGTCACAGGCACCAGGACACAGACAAGGATGTGTGTGTCCCTGGCCTCTTGGCTTCCAATAACACCAAGGTCCCCCAGCAGTGGGGGGCTCTGGCTTGCCTGACCACCCACCTGTGGGGCTCTGACTCTTTCAGGCTTCTTGTCAGGATGTAGCTGGTCTTCTCACCTTCCTTGGTCAATCCCTGCACAGGAAGATGGCACATTCAGCACAGGTCCATGACAGCAGGCTGGATGGGCAGGACAAGATACCCCAAAGTCCAGCTGGACAGAGGGGCTGGTCCTACAGGCTGTGGGATAATTGTTGGCACAAGAACAGGAACCACAGAACATGTCAGGGGTGCCAAAGGTCACCACTGTGTACACAGCAGGGCACCTGGCACGCCCCTGATCCGTGTCTCCATACCTGGACAGGCTGGGCATCTCGCCACACCATGCCCTCCCCATCGCTCTCCCAGACGAAGTGCACTTCCCGCCCTGCCCATGCCGGGGGGATGCTCAGCTCCACCTTAAACCAGCACGTCTCCCATCTGGAAGAGAGCAGGCAGCAACCTCAGTCCACTGTGTGACCTTCTCCCGAGAGAAAGCACGCTTCCTCAGAGCCCTCCACTGAAAAACCAGAGTGGGGACAGCCCATGAGTTTGATGGGATTCACAGACCTGATTTAACCTGTGCCCTTCTGGACCCCCAGAGAAACCAACAGTGGCACCTTGTCTGCCCACTGCTGGGTAAGAATCTCCTCCCAAACTTGACAAGCAAACACAGAAGCGTCAGAGACACAACCATGGTCACAAGGAGCTCTCAGCAGAAACCAGCAAGAAACTTGTCCCTTCCCTCATGAAACCTCCCTTAGGGCTTCGGAGCAGCCACCGCCAAGCACTCAGCAGCAAAGATCAACTCATGTCTTCAGCAGGGAGAGCTTGTGAGGACTCACCCACACTCTGAGACACGAGCTGCGAGCCCAGCACGGGCACAGCACCACCGAGACCCGCTACTCACGCGGGCCCGAAAGACTCTCCCACTCGAGCCGGCCCGAACTCCTGCGCCACGGCCTCCTCGTACGGGATGCGCCGCGGAGTCTGGAAGTAGGAGAGCGATGCCGGCGGACAGCGATCCCCAAAAAGCCTGTGGTGGGAGACGGCCAGGACACATCAGTCCCGCTTGGGCTAGCCCGGGGTGGTGCAGAGAGCTTTCACAGCACGGCTGAATCGCCCTGCCGCCACCCAGCACCTCAGTGCTATGAACAGATCGCTGAGTGACACAGGGCCCTGCTGAGCCCGGGTGGGCAGGGCAGGGCAGGGGGCTGAGGGGCTGTGCCGGGTGCCCAGGGGCAGCGCTCCATGCCGACCAAGGAAGGAGTGAGAATGTGTCACTGTGTGTGTGTGTGTGTGCGCGTGTGTGAGATGTGTCCCCTCAGCGTGAGTCCACTGAGCTCCCCGAGTCCCCGCACCCACGGCCGGCAGCGCCCCGGCGCAGCGTCCCCACCCTGAGGGGACGCACCGGAGCCCGTCCCGGCCAGCGCCCCGGGGGTGTCCCGGAGAGTCCCCCCGCCGCCCACCTGCCCCGCAGGTTGCAGTCGGTGAAGTAGGTGTCGGAGAGGAACTTCTCCACTCGCTCCAGGGCCGTCCGCCGGTTCTTGATCGCGGCCATGGCACCGGCCGAGCCCCCGCCCCGCCCCGCGCTGAGCTGCGCAGGCGCGGCCGAGCCCGGAGCACGGAGCCCACAGCCCGGAGCCCGGAGCCCGGAGCCCACAGCCCGGACAGGCTGGGAGCAGAGCTGGGATGTCAAATGGAGCACCAGAGGCAGAGGTCTCCCTGTGATGTGTCCCAGGACAGGCAGGCACAGCACCCTTCTGGCACAGGACCCCACCAAGCAGCAGCAGCAGTACTGCCAAGCTGGCCAGAAGTCTAAACCACCGAAGATCTTCCCTTCCACATCACCTTGAGCCTACACCACAATAAAAAAGGGGGGGAAATAATAGGGGAGCGTGTGTGACACCTTTGGAATGGAAGAGGACACATGAGAGCCCCTCTGCCTGGTTACAGCAAAGGAGAAAGGAGACGGGTGATTTATTGCTAGCAAAGTGTGAAAAGCCCTGCTGGGCTCTTGCTTCTCTCCCTCTTCTCCACAGGAGGCTCCCATTCCAGACCTGCCTGCTGTGCACTGGCTGCCTGTGACTGCCACCCCGGCTCCAGGTGTCCCCTCCAGCCCTGCTCCCCGCCAGGGAAGGAGCTGTGGTGGCAGGAGAGAACCTGGAACTAGATGATATTTAAGGTTCCTTCCAGCCCAGGCTGTTCTGTGAGTCTGTGAACCTGCTGTCTCAAAACACAGCGAGTCCCTGGGAGGGGCTGAAGCTGTGGCAGAGCCCTGCTCGTGGCTCCCTGTCCAGGGGATGGAAGCCACTCCAGGTGTGCAGGATGGATTTTTGCTAGGAAAGCCACCTCCTTTTGAGGAGACACAGTGCAGTGGTGGCTGTCGTGGCTTACAAAGTCTGTGCTGACTTTATTTTTAAATTCAGAATCTTCCCCCGCATTTTAAATATCTGCCAGTGTTAGATTTCTCTACTTAAAAAAATATATATCCCCATATGTGGATTTCTGGAGTGAAATGCACCGAGCCCCCCCCAGTCCCTCCTCCTCCTCCTGCCAAAAAAAAAGGAAAACAAAACCAAAAACCCAAAATAAAAATAAAACAGTTCCACTGGCACTAGAAAGGACAGACCGATCTGCACAGGGTGAGTCCAGCCTGGGAGGAGGGGAGGGAGCGAGAGGAACCCGGGGCGTGCTGCCCCTGGAGCCCGCCAGGAGAGGAGAATCCGGTGGTGACAGGCACCTGGGGACTTCGGGGACACATCCACAAGGTGGTGGAGAGCATCCCGCTCCCCTCCCTCGCCGCTCAGGGCCTCCCTCGGGGAGTCAAAGCCTCAACGCTGCTGGTGTGTACGAGCTCGTGGTGTTTCTCTGGGATGGCTCAGTTCAGAGAAGGGTCCTTCCTGCCCAAAAAGGGCCGGCAGCCCACGGCCCCGGGCGGAGATCCACGGCCCCAGGGGGAATCCCGCCGGGACAGGCTGCACCAGCCACGCACTAGTCAAGTGGCCATGTGACGGAGATACACAGTGAGGGGAGAAAGGCATCTCCCTCCTTCCCTGGATGCGCACACACACACACATCTCCCGGGCTCTGCCTCGCCCCGGGGACTCCTAGGGTGTCTTGAATATCGTGCCGTATTTGACGCGGTACTTGTTGATGCTGACAAAGTGCAGGGTCTCTGTGTCACAGGTGGTGGTGCAGGGCACCAAGCCCTCCAAGCCTTCACCCATGAGCCACTTGTTTGTCTCGGCTGCCATTTCACGGGGCACGTGCTCCTTGGTCCATTTGTCCACCCAGGCCTGGAACCGCTGGTGCAGCCGCTTGCTCACCCTTTCGTGGGACTGCAGAAACAGGGAGAGGTGTTAGGAAAAGGCAGCTCTGGCCCCCAAAGTGCAGCATAACACAAAGCCTGGCTAATGGGTGACACAGGCAAGGGGATCAAACACACAGGGAATTTGTAATGCAGGCACTGGACTAATGACAGAGGGAAAGCTCTCGAGAAGGTCCCCCCAGAGTCTCTTCTCCAAGCAAAAACGTGGCAAAATGAGCTCAGAAATATAAAAAGTTTATGCACAACAGTTCACGGGCTGGGGACATGGAATATATCCAGTGGGAGCCTGAAAGTTGCATGCCCAGCTCAGATTGAGTCCCTTCTGCATTGCCAAAAGATGCTGCTGCCTCCTCTGCTACCACCCAGGACCAGGCAAGTCCTGCTCTTCCCAGCCCTCAGAGTCTGTCCCCAGCCCCCAGAGGAGCACAGCCCCAGGAAAGAGCAAGTTCAACATGCATTACACATATGGGGGACACAATTGCTACAGAAAATTAAGACCGAGGTCAGGTCAAATAGGCTCAAGAAGCTCTGACTTAACAGAAACATCAGGAGAGGAAAAAGTGTGCACTTTTTTGGGTAAGAGCATCTGCCTAAGGAATGTAAAATGCAAGAAGCCATGGCTGCAGTCATAACTGAAAACAGCCCATATAATTAAACCTCCAGATTAAAACTTACAGCTTTTATTATTTGTTTGTTCTTCTCCCAGAGACTGACTGCTTTGGGGTGTTAACTGCTAAATCCAATAGATTTGTTTCCAAAATCCAATGTAGCTTCCACAGCTCCCTCAGTGTATTCTAGTAACCAAGGGCTAAGCTGCACACTACATATTTAACACTTCAAGAATTTATGCTCAGATTCTCTGTGAAGAGCACTGGCACACAGTATCCTGATTATAAGCTTACATTTCCTTGAGGTTTGTGCCAGTTGAATGAGATAGACAGAATTCAATCAAAATCCTCAGTATCAGCATTTCAAAGTCATTATGCTGCAATAAAATGCTCTCATCTGATGTGGATGCAAAGTTTAAAAGAATTCCTTTACAACTAATGAACTAAAGCCACTACCTGTATCTCATCAGCAAGAAACGTGGTAAGTAGTTGCTTTATAAATCTAAATACATGACAGAAGTGGATGGAAATATTCCCATAAGATGAGAAAAGGAGAGTGTCAAAGCATCCAGATGACCAGATCAGCTTCCTCCAGTGCAATCCTCCTAAATTTGGATGGAGTCTGGCCATCAGTCACCCATCAGGAGTCACAAGCTCTTTTCATCTTGGATAAACCCAAACTTCTACAGCTTCCCAAACAGCTGGAAAGCAATGCCTCCTTCCTTCCCCTGGGTCCCAGGGAACACCAGCAGCCCACCCCGCTGTCTGGCTGGCTCCTACCTGCTGGGCTCGCAGCAGCGCGGTCCTCCTGTACATGTAATCCTCTGATTTGATCACGTACACCATCTTATAGGAGTTCAGCTTGAATTTACACTCCATCTTGTCCAGGCTCTCTATGTTCTCCATGGACTTCTTGCTGTTTCCCTCCTTCCCTTCCTTCTCCTGCTGCTCCCGACCACGCTGACACTTGCGGATCCGCCTCAGATTCCTGCAAACCAGAGAACCCCTCTTGGAATTAGCAGCCACGCCCTGGCACTGCACAGCTCAGCTCAGGCGCTGGATCTCAAGGCCAGGTTGGACAGGGCTCGGAACAACCTGGGAGGTGTCTCTGCACAGGGCAGGGGGGGAATGGGATGAGCTCTAAGGGCCTTTCCCAGCACAGCCTGGCCACTCACCTGGGCAGGAAGACGGGTTTCTGGGCCAGGTGCTCGCGGAGCTCGGGGGAGGTAGAATCAGAGTTGACGTACCGCTCCACGTAGTCACACCAGCGCTGGAAGCGAGCACAGAGCAAGCATCAGCCACTGCCCTCCCACCAACAACTGCAAGGCTAAGCTGGAAGTCATGCAGAAGAACACAACATGCCTTCTGAAGGCTCTGTGCATCTTATGCCCAAAAAGGCAGGTACAATGGTTCTATATGTGGTTTTGAGTATTTTCTAATATGAAATAAACCAAGAAGGATTTGCCTGCTCACACCACTGGAAGCTTTACAGCATGTCCTTGATGTTTCTGTGTCTTGTGCTAATGGACCACACCACCACTCAGCTAGGCACTCAACCTTGACCATCACGGTCAGCTCTCTGGACAAGCTGCCCTTACCTCTGCTTCCACAGGGTCATCTGAGTTTTCCTCTTCTGTGTCCAGCAGCTCAATGGTTAACTGAACTTGACCTCTGCTCTGAATGAACATCAGCTGTAAAGAAAAAGCAGAAGAAACTTCAGCAAGAGGAAATTTGAAATAGAAACAAGCACCTTCACTTCTCACTGGGGCAAAGGGACAATGAAGCAAGTTGGCAGTTTTGGGGGCTTCTTGAGCCCTCAAAGTAAGTTTGAGGGCACAGGAAGAGATATTACACACTCAGGCTTTTATCCAAAGTACTTCTCTGGCTCAGAAAGGGCCTGACCACTTCCTGCCTCTTCAGCAAAGGAAGTATGGATTTGATTAGCACAGGTTTATTAGCAATGTATGCAGGCAGCAGTGATTTAATGCCCAGTCAATAGTGGCAGATCTCCCAACAGTTGACAAAATTGAGACACCAGAGAAACAAGAGAATTTGAGCTAACAAATCAAAAGCAGTGGCAGCCAAGCAGTCAGTATGATACAGCCCAAAGCTGCTGTAAAGCACAGGGGATACTCATTGCTGTTCCAGGAAATAGAATCTTCCTTGAAACTTAATTTCTGAGGGGCCCTTACAGAAGCATTAACCTATATTCCAAAAGCTGGCAGCACGCACACTGGTTTTCGCTGGGATGGAGTTAATTTTCTTCACTTTTGGGCACCTAAACAAGGCTCTTTGTTAAAGGACCAGTGCTTTTCCCTTCTCCAAAGGCACCCCCTCAGCTCTTGCTGGTTTCACACTGCAGTTCAAGCCTGGCTTTACCTTGAAGCAGTTCTCCTCGGACATGAGCTGCTCGGCTTTGCGCTGGTAGGCGGCCTCCAGGAGCGAGCGGGAGGACTGCGACGCCAGCAGCCCTCCCGTGGCTCCGTTGCTGTTCTCTGACAGGTACAGGTCTGTCACCTGCACACAGATCTCATCGCTCACGATGTGCTGCAGCTGCAAACAGGAGCAACGGGGGTAAGGGGTTTGTCAGGGAGGCTGCTACACCCCGGTCAGAATAGAATAAAATAAGGGTGTGACAATGGGATTGAGCTCAAGCAAAAAAAATCCCTTCGCCTCTTCCACTAGATAATCTCTGCTGCTATGTGAAAAGACCACAAGATCTTTAGAAAAATTAGCAGGTGGCAAAGCACAACTACTCAGAGAAAAACTACACTCAGAGAACATTCTGATCAGCAGCAGGGGAGGAAGGGCCAGAGCTCTGTGACACAGCGTGTCCTCTCCTCACCAAGGGGTTGCTGCTGTGTCTGAGGAGAGGGGTGGGAGGTTTAAGATCAAATCCATATTTTGTGCAAGTTTAAAAATCAAAAGTCTCCCAACTGTCTTCTGAATTCAGTTAATCTCTGGACTGAAGGGCTTCTGAAGAGCAGCTCTCCCCTTCTGAAAGAGGAAAGCCCTTTCAAGCTATTCCCCTTCCAGCCCCTTGTGTCTGTTTTTGTTCTTTATGCTACAAAAAGGCACAAGAATTTTTCCTTTGCTCACACATTCTTCCTACCAACCCAATAAAAGGACTGGAGTTTAACAGCCAAAATGAGCTACTCCAGCAGCCAGATAAAAGAGACAAAAGGTTTTTAGAAAAAGTGTGCACTCCTACAGCACTGATGGAAAGGAAAGGAACTATTTAGATGTAATTTCTTTGGGTTTTTTTTCAAAGCTAAAGCAAGATTAGCTCTGGACATGCTTTGAATAATTACATCCTAAAACATCCAGAGGGAAACAAGAACTTTTTAGAGGATATTTTCAATAATTCAAACAGAACAAAAATCACTCTCTATCATTTCTCTACTATGAGGCTCAGAGAGCTGGGTGAAGAAACACCCTGAATTTACCCTCCTACCCCTGAAATTCCCCACGTGGGCACACAACACGGCTTTCCATGGGATCCCACTGCAGCAAACACCCTGCCTGCTTTCTCTGCCCCGCCCCACCCAGCCCAGGCCGTGCTGGCAGGCACCTGTCGCACGATGCTCTGGATCAGCTTGTCCATGGTGAAGGCGATGTAGGCGTGGATGGTGAACATCTCGCGCAGCGAGTCCTCGTACTGCGACGAGTCCATGTTGCCGTCCAGCAGGTTGCGCACCATGTCCAGGAAGGCCGGGTAGTAATCCTCCACATCGATGTCCACTGCAGCAGGAGAGCAGGGGAGACATGGGCACACCACCCCCAGCAAGGGCTGCTCTGAGTTTTGGTCCTCAGGTGACCCACGTAAGCTGAAGAGTTACTTAAACTTTATGTCCTTTATGCACATAAATCTTTGTACATAAACCCATACCTTTTAAGGCCACGGGTATTTTCATAATCTTTTGCTTTCTAGCTCTAGCCTCCTCCATGAGCTTTTTATTTCTGAAAAGTTTTACTTAGGAAACTTGAGGATATGCAAGTGTACAACAAAAGCTCTTATGAAATAACTGCTGCATATCATCCTTTTGCTAGTGCAAGTCCTATGTTCTCCACATCTTCCCATCTCCCCAGAGATAATAAAAGAGAGCCCATCTTAAAGGCTCACTGCTGCTCACGTGCCTGAAGACACCAAACACCCTGTCACCACACTACAGAAACACCTTTTTCCCCCCAGCCTCCCACCAGAAGTCACTCACTGGGCTCCTTCAGTCGCAGCTGGATGGCAGGACTGTCACTCTTGTCTCGCTTGATGCCCAGCACTTCCCTCTCCCACTCCCGTTCCCGCGTCTCCTCCTCGATCTGCCGCTCGGCCTGGGTGCAGATCCGCAGCAGCCGCAGGCACAGGATCTGGTGCAGCCTCATGAAGATGTACCAGTTGCTGTTCACGTAGAAGAGGTTGTAGACCTCATCCATGCCCCGCAGCTTCTGGGCTGTCGTGTTGTTGAACATCAGCTTGGTTTTGGGAGGACTACCCCCAACACCGTTGTGCTTTTTTGCAGCCCCAGTAGCTTCGTCCACATCCATTTCCTCTTCTTCTTCCTCTTCCACATCCGAGAGTTCACCTCGCTGAGCAAACAGCAGGTCTGGAATGAAGTGATACATGATCTGCTTGATTTTGTACTTGTCCTCCTTCTGGATTCCCGTCTGCCGCTTCACGTGGTGGATGATGAGGGAGGCAGCATCTTCCAGGATCTGCTTGTCTTCATAGGCCAGTGAGAGGTGTGGGCCTGTGGGGACTCCAGCATTGTCTTCTGAAGCCTGCTCTTGCCTCTACAAAGGAGAAACAGCATAAAAATCAGCCTAAACAATCCCTTTCCAGCACCCAAGAGCCTGCTAGAAACAGATTTCCTCCCTCATCAAGCCCTAAGGCAGAGGAACTGAAACTGCACTAGCAAAGTACATAAGCTCGAGGGAAGGAAACTGTTGGTGGCCATCTCACCTCATCATAGATGCTTTCAATCTCATTGAGGAGACTCTTTGACCTTAGGACCTTGGTATCATTCTGTTTGAAGTTGATGCCCTGGTGGTCCAAGGATTTCAGGTAATACTTCTCATTCTGCTCTCGCCAGACTTTATTAAATCCTCTCTGGGCTTCTCGCCACTCTTCCTCTTTCATCTTTAACCTTGGATCAAGAAAACAAAGGTGAGCTAAGAGGTGAGCATGTAAGAAAAACCTCGGGCCCGTGGTTCTTGGTGAGTGTTGACAGGAGCTGAACTCCCAATGAAATGGGCATGGATCAAAGACATCCCACAGAAAGGAGCTTTCCAGGAGGTGCCCCCTGGACACATCCTTCTGGAGAAACCACTCTGGGTTTCCTTCACATTAAGGTAAAACCACACAGGAACAAAGCAGCCCCAGGAGAGGGAATAAAGGGACAGGGAAGACAAAAAAGCTGGCCTTGGTCTCTCAGAAATCCCCAGAAAGCTCCACCTGTGGAACAGGAGCAGCTTAGTCTGGACAACTGAACAAAGCATGGACACCTGAGTATCCTGGGAATGCACTCCCGACCCTTGACTCAGCATCCCAAGCAAAGCACCCCTGATTCAGCTGAAGAAGGGTAGGGAAACTGGGACCTTGCAGGTATCCAGGGAAGGCTGCTCTGCCCAGCTCCAGAACTCCAAAACACAGGACCAGGAGTCCCACAGAGATAAAACAGCATGTGCTGCTTACACATCCCCTCGACCTTCCCCAAGGAGCTGCAGCATCCATTCCCCTTTAACTGAGGAAGGGGAGGCTGACAACAGAAACAGGACTGGGAATCTGAGGACAGCAGAGACACCATGATCTGAGCACCAGACCCATAGGATTTGGAAAGGGATCACAGTCAGCCCTGGGACAACACTTCCTTTATCTTACACACAGTGCTGACACCAGGGAAGAAAAAAGTTTAAGAGGAGACAACAAAAGCTCTATATCCTTCCAGCTGAGCTGTAAGGATTTTGCTTCAGGAGGGCAATTCCCTCTAGGTGATTATTATGGAATACAACAAGTGTCCAGAATATAAATCAACTTTTTAGTTTCACAGAATAATAGAACCATGGAATGGCTTGGTTCAGAAGGGATCTTGCAGATCATCTTGCCATGGGCAGGGACACTTCCCACTGGACCATGTTGCTCCAAGCCCTGCCCAATCTGACCTTGAACACTTCCAGGGGTGAGGCAGCCACAACCTTTTGGGGCAAATTTACAGCCTTGTGGAAAGCACACTCCTTAGGGCAGAAATCAGCCACTTTTCCATAAATTTGGAGGGCATAGAGTGGATTACCCTTCGGAAGGGAGCCTGGGGCAGGGTGCTGGGGCAGTCAGTACCTTTTCAGCACGATGGGAACAGCCACAGAGGGGTTCTTGCGAAGCCCATCGATGATGTCTGCTGCTTTGTCAGCGTATATCCTCTGCAGAGCCTTGCGGTGGATCACCTCCGAGGTGCCCCCCAGGGTGTTGTCCAGCCGGAATTTGGCCTGCTCCTCCGCAGACAAGCGTGACAGCTTCTTCTGGATTGCCTCCAGAACGCGGATGGTTGCCAGGTTGGTCTCCAAGACAACATCCAGCTGGAGAGAACAGCGCATTAGCCGTAGCATTTGAATAGACAAAACATGATACTTCACGGAGGCAAACATTCAAGTGACACCAAACAAGAAGCTGTGCCTGTTTAACAAGGTGTACTCCAGCACTTTGGTGTTCAGCTGCTCTAAAATAATCCAATTACATTTCATCTGCTACCTAAATAATACTGTGGAAGGATTTAAAGGCTACCAGAATTATACTGTTCGGAAATTACATCTTCCAGCTGGGAATAGAACACAATTGACAGTTACTCTACAAAAGGACGTGCCAAATCTGTGTAGATTCAGGTAATTGCCCAGCTAACTTCCATTTCCAGTCAAAATGTCAGTCATTTAAAATCCTGAACATATTGCTTTGCAGATGATTACAGGGGAATGCATGTTCTCATGCACTACGTGGGCAGGAAGAACAGAAAAGATGCAACAATTCCATGCTTGGCCATTCAACAATTTCACGTGGAGCGGGGTGAACGAAGTGCTCTGCACAAAAGGTGAGGGGCAGGGGGGGCAGCTTGGTGGTTATGCAGCCACTTCTTCTTGCATGAAGAGAAAACAAGCTTTTATGCCAAAAACCAGGTGGCAGACACAATAAAAAGATGCAGAATTAAAGGTATCATTACATCAAACTCATTAACTGTTCACAGAACAGAGCTTTATGAAACACGTAGCAAGGAAAGGCAATTTACCTCAAAACGCTCGTCCTCACACCTGTAGATGTGCTCTTCATATTGGGTCTTCTTGGAGCTCACAAATGTGGAATCTTCAGACCAGGACGGGAAGGAGACCCAGGTGTCATTCAAAACCTTTGAGGGAGAACAAGAGTTGTGGTCAGTGTTCAAGGGGATCACATCTGGCCAGCTCCAAGAGCAGTCTTCTGATGGGACAATCTAATTCCCAGCTGGAAAAAGTGTGTGCCCCTTCCAAAGCCCAGCTTTCACAGGGCAACTCCAAACAGCCAGAACCCAAACAGCCAGGCAGCCTGAAAAACTCATAGCTGGAGCTGTGAGGAAAAACCTTGCGGGAGAAGAGGAAAATAAAGATGAAATGAGCTTTTTCTGCTACTTTGGATTAGTCAGCTGCAACCAGCTGGTTCCCCATGTGTGATTCACCACCAACACTGTGTGGTCACCACAGCAGACCTGACTGTTAGACAGGACACAGTTGCTGCCTCCAAACAAAGCTAATTGAAAGTACAAAACCATAGCCCAGCATCATCTTTCCTGACCAAACAGCTCAGCACCTGCAGCTTTCAATATAGGAGCAGAACATTAAAAAGCAAACGAACAACCAACCAACCCAACAACCACCTCAAAGAGGCCAAAGGCAAAGAAACAATGATTTTGCCAGGCAGCCTTGAAAGCCAGGTCCAGTTTTCATAAATCCAAAGCCTGAACAACCGAGTCATTAGATTCTCACAGGGAGAAAAGTTTGTAACTGCATCACACAAGAAGCTTTTGAGAGACGTGTCAAGATATGGATTTAAAAATTCAGCATTTCAAGGAGTAAGAAAGATGCATCTGAGGGAATACGTGGGAGAAACTGTCTACAGAAAACATGATTTTCTTTTAAAGTTGGCCTAGAGACAACTCTGAATGCAGACTAAGTGAGAATTTGGGTAAAAAGGTAGCAATAACCCTGAATTACATACTACCTTGTAAAGGACCTCTGAGATCACATTAAGACCACACAGAAAACCAGTTCTGTCATCTCCTACTTAAGTTTGCAATCTTAATGTTCCTTTCACGGGTTGTACCACGTAACACATCATAAATAAGATGTAGGAGCATTAGGTATGTCAGTAATTAACCATCATACCTATTCAGCAGGGTTTTCTCCAGCTGCCTCCCAAGGCTCTATGCAAACCTTTCACAAACTTCTGGAGAAGAGCTGATGCCAACCATCAAAGCCACGTGGGTACCACGACTCCCAGCCAGCTTCCAGCATAACCCAGTTCCTAGACTGACGCCTCACCCTGTGCAATAGCTTCTGGATATGATCCAGATGTTTACAGGAGTGCCACCAGGAATTCCTGAGGTGTGCTCCCCTCGGGCTGCCGCACGCGCCGCGGCGATCCCGAGCCAGGATGCTGTGCCCACACACGCCTGGCTGCAGGAGCAGCACAGATCAGAGTGGAGCAGTGCCGGGAAGGCAGCTGCCTGGCCCCAGCTCCATGCTCACCACCACCAGACGTGCCCTGCCATCCCCAGGAACCTTTCCAACATGGGGATACAAACTATATCCCCCATCCTGCTCCATTTTGCTCCAATGCTTTAAAAAGGTGGGAAGAGCCCTCCTTTGTGGCACAGCCCCTGCCTTACCTCTTTACACAGTGGAGTCCTCCCTGTGCACTTGGGCTGCTGGTAGCTCTTGGGCAAGGCTCTGTAGCTGGAGCCCAGCCTCTTGCAGGAGGCATAGTCAATCTCCATGGCAATCCCCTCAGTAGCCCGTTCCTTCGGATATGTCTCCATGTGAACAGACTCCTTATATCCCAGAAAGTTTTTAAACCAAGTGAACAGTTCTGGGAATTTCCTAAAATAAAAGGAATGAAGTGAAAAATGAGGTCAACAGAATGCAAGCAGCACCAAGCTCTGATGCTGAGGCTAGAATTGATTACTACAGAAAACCCTCTAAATTATCAATGTGGTGAGAAGACCCTCTCTGCTCAACCCCACTCCCACAGAGCTTGACCAAGTGGGAAACAAGGACCTGTTGTTGATCAGGTGGAGGATTGCTCTCTTAGTGCAACTAGAGTGCTTTAGGATTAGTGACCAACAAGGAGCAGCTGTCAAAGCTTTTGCTACAGGGACAGCACTTGTGGCACAGTCACATCTGGGTCTCCCCAAACTACCCTGGTACTGAACTCAGGACACATTCCTCACTGTTTGCCAATGGTTTGAACCTTAAATCCAACCTTTCCTTTCCAGAGGCAGCAAGAAGAAACCAAAAGGCAATTCTGTAACTACACAAAAGGTTTCAGTGCCGAGCAATTGCTTCAACCAGACTTCCCAGAGCAGCATGAATCAGAGAAACCTTTGCCTGCAAGGCCCAAGTTTGCCTGTTTGCAGAATTTCCTGAAAAACTGATTAGTCTAAAATACAGCATTTGCTCATGTCCTCTTATTTCACTCAAAGCTCCAGCAACAGGATGAACTGAACCTGTTACTAATTGAATCACTAGTTATTCATTGCTTTTTCATTATATGGCAAAAGACAATGTCCAACTCCAGAATAAAAAAACCCTGTATTATATCTTTCCCTATAGTTAGGAGCACAGGCAGTAGAGGGGAAAAGAATAGAATTTTCTTGTCAAATATTGCATCTTTTCTACCTAAAGTCAGGCATGCCTGGCTAATTCTAGTGAGCCTACAGAGCGAGTGGAAGCTCCTTAGGGCAGTTTCTCTGCACAGTAGCTACTGTAATGGGGTCCTGAACCCCATTTATATTGCTACTGCCTTCTCCCTTGGAACCAGCAATTCAGTGCCCAGGCAAAAGAAACACTAATCCTGCTGCCCAAAGCTGATGAGAGGAAATCTGTCAGTCGTGTACAGAGCAGCTCTGTTAATTGGTTAAAACCAACAATCACGGAAGTCGTAAATTCCTTTTTAAAGCACAGAGTTCCTTAGCATTTTTGGCTTTGTGACTGAATTCAGCTGCTTTTTGGAAACTTTAGTGAGTTTATATCAGCAGTCTGCTTTTTTGGGGGGATACTACTAATTAGACAGTTGATCTTTCCTCAAATGACACAATTTGAGAATGATTCCAGAGCAAGAAACTGCAATAACAGGCTGCTAATAATTTTGTTTGCTCCACTGGAAAGGGAAGACACACAGCAAGCAACACCTGTACTGCCCCTGCATGCTGCCTGTCAGGACACAGCTGGGAACCTCTCTGGGATAAGGAATAGGAAAGGGCAGTGCAGAAGACCATGAAGGTGAGTGTTTCTTTCCTGGCTCCACAGGAGAAACAGACCAGGAAAGGGGCTGCACTCACCCCAGGAAGGGCGAGACCAGCTGCACGAGCTCGGCCCGGGAGATCACCTCCTGGTTGAAGATCACCAGGCAGCGCAGGAAGTTCTCGTACGCCTCCGTGCTACGCAGAGCTTTGCGGACCTGACCCACGGGAGACAAGAGAAAAGGAGCTGTCAGGGTGAGACTCAGCAGGGGGAGGTCCAGGAGACCTGGGTTTGGCACTGTTTCCCACCGAGGCACACACATCTTTGAGTTGAACAGAGAGAACTTGCCCTGTACACAAACTGGTACTGATGGGAGCCACCCCCATGCTGGGATCCCCTGCAGTGTCAACAGAGAGAACTTGCCCCGTACACAGGGTACACAAACTGGTACTGATGGGAGCCACCCCCATGCTGGGATCCCCTGCAGTGTCAGCACTGGGCATTGCTCTAAGAAAGGAGCTGCAAGTGAAGAACTAAATCCTTCAGAGAACCCTGTAACAGCTGGATTACAAAGCACCAGAATCATGGACAACATAATTTGAAATGTAACACCACAAACCCACCCAGGCTGCTTTTAAACTCCAGAGAGTATTTCAAGTAGGGAGTGGGGGGTACAAGACCCATGCCCTGGGTAACACCTCTCCAGCCTCTGCCTGCTTCCAGCTTGGATTGCCACAGACAATCCTCCTTCTGTAACCTCTGCAATCCTCCTTCTGTAACCCCTGATCTTTACAGAATGAGGAAGCCAAACTATTCATCCCAACACCACTGCCTTTCCCACAAGAACAGCTACACAGGATCTACACATCAGACTGAGATCTGTCACTGTTAAGTTATTCATCATTATGGTTATAATTCCACAGCAGGGATTTCTAGGTTTACTCATGTTAACACCTACACATCCTCCAAGCAATAAATTGGTTCCCGGTTACCATTAGCTGGTTCCCATCACGCTGCAGAATTCACCAGATCAGCAGGGAGCAACCAAGACTGTCATCAGTGCGTGAATATTGCTTAAAAGGATGGTTTTAAGTTCATCTCATACTCCCCTCTGAGCTATAAGGCAGTGTATGGACATCTCAGAGAAGACACCAAGGTACCACTTGGAAACATCCCATATCTCCCTCACTTGATCTGTGTGCTGAACCAGCAACAGGTAACAACTGTGCAATTAATTAGATTAATCTCTGAGGGGAAATTAAAGAAAAAACCAGCCCAATGTAAATATGAATCAGGTGCTTTGTAAACTGAGCTCCCCCACTGCAGCCAGCTGGCTGTAGATGGGTACAAGCTGTGCCAACACAGCAAGACACGCCACGCACATCATCAGCTGTACAGGGATCTCATAATGGGGAAAACCATTTGGAGTGTGGGTTACAGGAAAAAATTCCCCTTCCCTCAAACAAATTGCAGCAGCAGCAGGTAGAAAGCTGGAGAAGGAGCTTTGGGGAAAAGACACATGTAAAAAATATTACCAATTCTCTAAAAAATTCAATTCATCTAACTTAGAGGTCGCAGGATACATCGGAGGTCAAGCTGAGAAATGTTATCAGGGTGGTGTAAATCTCACACACTTCCTTCACTGTGATAAAAATCCAGATGTGTATACAGGAAGGACATACACCAAGGACATGCAACATCTGCATCCTGCCTCTCACCTTCTCGAAGAAGAGAGATTCTGTCCCCACACCATGTTTGCTGGCTTCTGCCAAGGACTGGTCTTTCAAACCAAGCAGCTTTGGTTTCTTCTGTTATCAAAAAAAGAAAGGCAATTAAAAATAAAAGGTGTGTTGAGCAAGTTAGGAAAATTTGATTATCTATCACATGAGTGCCAGCTCCCTAACCCCATCATGTGCTTCCCATTAAAAGAAAGGTGGCTTTTTAAAAGGAAAAGTCTATTAAAACATGTGCTACAAGTTAATTTACTCAATGTTAATAAGTAGCATGCCACTCCAAATATTCGTAATACATTGTTTCACCCCTTCCTGTAACTAGCTGATTGTTTCAATCACACTACAGCATAACTTACCTTGATAACTAGTTTGCAAAACTGCCAGAACAGAAGATTTTCCTATCACTCATCCAGTTCTGCAAATCTTACATCTCTCCACAATTTTTTTCTCTCTCACATTCCCCTGAAAGATGCTTTATTTTCCCCATCCTCAGAAAGGCTGTAAGGTGCCTCCAAAATGTGCTTTATTTCCGTGCCCTCCATTTGAGGAGCAGGAGAAAGGGCAGAAGGGGACTTAAATGGTACAATTATGCCTGCTAATGCTTTTCATGACAAAGGAAGATATACTGGCTTCAAAAAAAGCAGGCAAATTTATCCTTCATGCACAAACACGAGGCCACCTGGCCACAGGACAGGTTTTGTTGCACTACAAAGCCTCGCTGCTCTCACAAATCATGCGTCATTTGAAAAGGGCAAACTCTGCTGAGAGAATAATCATTTATCATTGTATTAAAAGCTTCATCACAGGAAAGATGAGCAAACACGAGTCTACTGCATCTGCTCCAAGTTTTACTACAACAAAGCTTTCAGGCACACCTATTCAGCTTGTCTTTTCCTACGTGCCTTAGGAACATTTACTACAAATATTGGGCAAATTTATTCTGTGGCATTACTGAGACTTTTGTCTCCACACTCCATAACTCCCCCTCATTAAACACTGCTAATAAAACTACATCTTTATTAGCAAGTGATGAAAACTCTGTTTCCCCAAGCCATTGAAGTAACTATGTCCCACCCACAGGAACAGACACCACCATCAGTTTGCAAAAATCAGAGGCAAATACTCGTGCTTGGAAACAAGGACTTCTGAAAGCTTTAAAGACAAACACTATTTTCCACGTTCTCAAGCTGCAGCCCGTGCCACAAAAACCACAAGGACTTGGAAGACACATCCTGCTGTGGCCCAGCCTCCTGGGACAAAGAGGGCTCTGAGGGAGCAGCACAGGCTCTTACCTTCACCGGAGGGGTTGCCCCGGTGCCCGAGTGCCGTCGGATCTGGCAGCCATTCTGGTTGGGTCTCTGCTGCTTGTTGTTGAGCTGTGGCTTCTTCACCGTGCCCCCGTGGTCATTCCTGACTGACTCCACTTTCTCTGCAGTTGTCTTGCTCAACAGCTTGTTCAGAGACAAACCCATAAAACCATCAGGGCTACGTTCCACACAAAATGTCACCAAATGGGCTGGGTTGGAAGGGACCTTTAAGATCATTCAGCTCCAATGCTATGCCAAGGTCAGAGACACCTTTCACTATTCCAAGTTGCTCAGAGTTCCATTTGACCTGCCCTTGAACACCTCCTGGGATGGGGCAGCCACAGCTCCTCAGGGTAGCCTGTGGCAGTGTCTCACCACCCTCACAGGAACTAATTTTTTTCTAAGATCTAATCTAAACCTACTCTCTTTCAGTTTGAAGCCATTCCCTCTTGTCCTGTCACTCCATGCCCTTGTAAAGAGTCTCTCTCCATTCTTCTTTGAGGCTCTCTTCAGGTACTGAAAGCCACAATTAGGTGACCCCCAAACCTTCTCTTTTCCAGGCAGAACAATCCTAATTAACTCAGCCTTTCCTCACAGGAGATGTGCTTCATCCCTCTGATCACCTTGGTGGCCTCCTCTGGACTGGCTCTGACAGATCCAAGTCCTTCCAGTGCTGGGGACCCCAAAGCAGGATGCAGCAGCCTACAGGGGTCTGCTGCTCCTCCTAGCTCTAGATGATCAATGGATTTGATCACTAGAGCACTAACTTAGAACAACCCTTTTAGGCAAAGGAATTGCATTTAAAAAAAAAAAAAAGTTATTTAAGAGACAAGTTGTAGCGAGAAAACACAGTCTACCCCCCGACCTTCTTCCTACACCCCAGGGAAGTTACAGCAAAAGCACATTTTTCTGAACACTGCCTTCATACAGAACAGTCTGCACTAGGTATTTCATCCTACCTCCAAGGGTACTCACCACGGAGCTGTTGGCATCAGGCAGGAACTGCCCAAATTCCGAGAGCAGATCCTCCTGGTTCTTGAAGAGGCGAGCCACCTGGGCGTAGACCTCCTGCTCTGTCAGGGCTGGCGTGTAGTTCCCTCCTGCCTCCTTGGCATTACGCTGCTCCTTCTGCCAGAGGAAACAGGAGAGGTGTCAGAAGAAAGGATGCACAAACTATTCAAGTGACAAAGAAAAAACAAACTTTCAGTGATAGGAATAATGGAACAGTAAAGGTCTCAGCTTCTTATCTAAAGCATCATACTATATTAATAGTATGACTATCATATATTCTAAATAGCTATACTTATATATACTATAAATACATCCTAAATGCCCAACTGGCCCTGGAGCAGTGAGACACTGACCAAGGAAGTGGGTTTTTTTGCTTTTAACATAGAGCTACAGCCACATTGCCTCATCCTGACACATGCTCATAGAAAAATGCCAAATCCAGTTTTTAAACAAGCATTTCAGACACTTCCAAACAAAGATGATGGATTGAGATCTATTACTTCATATGGCTATGTAATCTTTTTAACTTGCCAGATTTCTGCTTAATTCAAGCAGAATTCAAGATCAGTCTGGACAGGGCTTGGAGCAACCTGACCTAGTGGAAGGTGCCCCTGCCCATGGCAAAAGGTTGGACTAGATGATCTTTAAAGCCCCTTCCAATCCAAACCAGTCTATGATTATCTGCTGGCCACTGCTAGTACAGCAGAAGACTCAAATGCAAGTTTTGGACACCCCCTGAAAGCAAAGCAACAGAAATAACCATACACAGACACAAATTCACATTTCCAACACGCACCTGATACGTGTGGAGAATCTCCAGGAAGGCTTTGTAGATGTCTGGCTGTCCCTGGAACCGATTTTTGATCTTGTTGACGTAGTTGATGGCGTGGTTGAACTCCACGGGCTGATTGTTCTGCAGGGATGGTGTGGTGCCCAGGGAGATTGTCACGGGCGTGTGCGGCTGCACCGGCGGCGAGCGCGGCGACGCGTACGGCGGGATCGGCGGCGTCTGCTGGCTGGCAGGAGTATGAGCCTGCAACTGCGATGGCTGAGGAGAACACAGGCTCTGTTAGGAAGCAGTAGACCCCCTCATGGTCAGGATAAAGGCACTTTTAATCCACTGAGGGATAAATAAATAAATAAATAAAAATAGATAAATATTTAGTGGGCCAGCAGAGATGAAACTGCATCACGGAGACAAAATGTCTGGGCCATTCAAGCAGTTGTTATTAAGATTTTTCTTGTTTATTGCTTTAGACTGAAACCTCACCAGAGACACAAACTACCTCAAAAACTTCACAGAGCCAAAATGCATAGGTATGGCTGGCTCCAACACTGCAAGTTACTTTGGCACTGCTGAAGAATTGTGGGATGTATGAAGGCAATAGCAAGGGAAAGCGTGAGTTTCTTGAGACAAAAAGCAGGCAGTGAGTAATTATTTTGAATACTCTCAAGAGATGTCCAACAGCCAGGTGAAAATTTAGTTTTGAGGTGGCAATTTTAAATAGAAATGGGAGTACTTATTCCCCTCACGTTTTACATTTCAAAAGTTGTATTACACAGAGTTTTCAGAACTGAGAATGTAAATAACTGTCTTAGGATGGCCATAAATATCCTGTTACAAGGTCCTGCCTTGCTCAGCTACAGCTTTATCTGCCTGGTAGGGCCATCTTACCTCATTGTCTAGCCTGTCCCTGAGGCTCATTTTAAAGTTTCAGCAAGGATAGTTCAACACTTTGCAGGTTTGCTAGGGAGAAAATCACTTATCCCATGGTATTAAGAAGGAGACTGCTACATCATAACTGAGAGCATGTACTTCTTCAGAAAAAATCTTGCAATCTAGCACAGGCAAGTTCATTCTGGAATGATCTGCAGTGTCCACTTTGGCAAATCTTTCAGCAAATCTTTCAGCATGTTTTTGTTTGCCTTTTCTGAGCAGGAAGTTGCATGTCCCAACAATGTTTGTCCAGAGATCAGGTAACTGCCGCATTTTAAATCCTGCTGCTTTTTAACTGCATGTTACCTTTTCCTTTAGCTTTTCCAGGCAAGTGTTATCAAACGGTTTAGGGATTAACCCTTGAAACTTTGGCGATTCCCTCCATAAGGCTCTGAAATATTTTCACACTTTGAGGCTAAAATACACAAAATTTGATCTGGAGTAATCTCCTTAAACATCTATTATCCTGTTCTGCTTCACATAAAATACATCTTTTGGACAGTAGGATCTGGATTATATCTAAACCAGAGCCAAATTTCCTTTGTTACTGCAAGGTCTCTGTTTTGGGCACACACAACCAATACCTACAGGCAACATCATGGTCATCTTCCTAAACTCTTGCACTTTGGATGTTGCCAATAACTCCTGAACCCTTCCAGATGACAGCTGAATCAGAACCCTCTACAAAAACCATTCAATCTGAAAACAAGATTTCAAGCAATGCAAAATCCACCAAATAACAAATGAAGGTTTCCTAAAGGCTTAATTGCCTCAAGCATTTGAAATGACACACACACTTTCACACCAAAGAGAACATCTTCATCACAACCTCTGTTTTATGGGCAATTTCTTGGGACTTTAGGTCTAAGACAATATACACAAAAGCAGGCAGATAGTGTGTGCCCAGTGCTTTAACTAGAAACCTTTTCCCTAGGGTTGCTGGATCACTTCTTGAATAATGTGTGTGCCATTTACCAGATGCTCTGACTGTCTTTCAGTTCCCCACTGCCAGCAACAAGGCTTTTCCAAACACTTAATGTTTTGGAAACTTATTTGAATTGCTGTCAAATTAACTATGACTGCATCTTCAAGTTTGAAAATGAGAAACTAATCCAGCAGCAGAAGGGGAACACATGAAGGTTCACAAATACTGGGGGAAAGCAACACTAAAGTTAATTTTTCCCTCTCTAGCTGCACACCAGCTTCAGCTGGAGGCAGCAGGGTCTCTGTGCTCTCAGTGCAGGTCACCCAGAGCTTCTCACCTTGCTGATTTTGGCAGGTGTGGGCTGTGGTGCCGGCTGTGCTGGTGTCGGGGTGGACTGCGCCGAAGGCTGCGACGGATGCGGCGGCTGCGGCTGGGGCTGGGGCTGCAGCCCGTGCGTGGGGATCTGGTGAACCTGCCCCGGGGTGGTCACGTTCACCATGTCGTTGGTCTGCACCTCAATCTTGTAGCCAGGTGGCAGGAAGGTGTTGAAGCCCATGATCAAGTCTGGGTGGCCCTTGAAGAGCTGCGAGACACGGCTGATCACCCCCGGGGTGTCGATGCTGGGGAAGGAATAAGAGCACAACGTCACCGTCCTCGCACCTTGCAGTGGGACAAGGTTCTCCACACAGCAATCTTCCAGTAGATTTTTTTCCCTTATGACCTCTAACCTATGAAACAATGCAAAACTGAGCCCTATAAACAAACTGCTGAACTCAAGAGTGACATTAGCATTATTTTATCAGCCCAGACAGCGTTTTATCTCCATGAGATCCAGTCCCAAGTCTGACCATTATTAATGGGCAGACAACCAGATGAATCAGCTGTCAAGGCTGAACTTGTGAACTCCCACTCTAAGCAGAGATTTAGTATAAATGAAGGGATGCATTTCGTTTTCAAAAAATAAAGCACACAACTGCTTTTACATCATTGTCCTGGTGTGTTATTCTGTATACAAAGGACAGAATTCAGCTCCTGCCCTGTGCTCCAATGTCCACACACACTCTAACCTGGAAGGAAGAAGCAAAAGGCAGCAGGTTACCTTTGAGATTTAAATTCCTTCATAATATCCAAGAAGTCATTGTAGACCTGTGGCTGACTACCAAACTGTAGCTTCACCTGGTCAAGGTAAGACAATGCATCCTCCACCTGGAGACAGACCAGACAGGTCACATTAGCAGAGAAGATTTGATTTCACCTGCCATTGTTCTGTAAAACACCCAGCATTTGAAAACACAGCTGTTAGCCCTGAGCCTGGGCAGTGTATTAAGGAGCGAAAAGCTCATGAGCATGGTTTGTGTACTACCAACACTGTCTGAATAAGAGGTACTCACTCCCCACTCCTGGTCCAGAGATAAAAAAAGACAAAAAGGAAAAAAAAAAAAAAGAAAAAAACAAAAACAACAACCACACAGATCAGCAGAATTACTCAGAACGAAAAAAACCCCAAAACCCAAAACCTAACACATTCCAAATCTACCATCACTGAAGTGACTGCTAGGATAAACAGAACTAGACTGAGTATTTTTCCTGCATTCATATGTGGAAATTATTATGGAAGTCTAAGAATAAGCAGAAAGTGGAAATGACATATTCACTGTAGTAGATGTCTGCCAGGTACACGCTTGCACTGCTCTCAAAAAGCCAGACATTTCAGTTCAACATAGAAGGGCTTCGAAAATGGCAACTGTGGGCGGGAAATTGTTTTACACCTCAAACAGCAAGAGGTTCAGGATTTGTGTACCAACAGCCAATTTTCAGAAGTACAGGAAGAACAGCCATGGCCCAAAGTGAGAACTCTGGGTCCCTGTGCCTCCAGCAGCCTGGCCATGCAGTCAGCAGCTGCAAGAGCTGCACATGGGACCCCTCTTTCCTCTGAAATTAAACAACAGCAACAGAAGAAAGACTCATGTATGGCCCCAAGCTTGCACCAGCAAAGGATTTTCCATGGATTTCACTGTGAGGAAGAAACACTCTTTTTGAAACTGGTTTTCAGAGGTTTGTAGAAATGAAGTCCCCCACATTCAGCAACAGGAAAGGGCAGTGGTTTCCACCAAAACTGGAAAAGACTCACACCGTATTTGGAAGAAGCTGAAACAGGCATCAATTTGTATGTATGTGCCTTCTCCAAATGTAGCAACTTAAAGGGGTTATTTTTGGTGGACTTTTCTCTTTGTTTAAGGGTTTTACAGCACATAATCTGAGAATAGAGCCTTCCTTACTCCCAAATTACTCCCACACAACCACCCACATATGCCATGTGTTCAGAAAAGCACCAAATGTTTTGGTAATTTAACCCATTCATCCAAACACTCTAAGCAATACATTCCTCCCTTCCCTCCCAGCCACAAATCCTTTGCTGGCCAGTCCAATTTCTTTTTATTATGGTTATGTGAAACAACAGGGCTTCAGCAGAAAGAGAAGTCCATTTCTGCATTCAACAGACTCCCAAACCATTAACTCCTTGGGGGAAGGGGAAGGGGAAGGGGAAGGGGAAGGGGAAAGGAAGGGGAAGCTGATAGAAGAAGGGCCCTGGCCGCAGAAGGAATTTTGGAAGAACACGGTTGACACGGGGCAGCTGCTGCCATTACCTTGAGCCTCTGGAACTGCTGCTGGCCCTGCACGGGCACGGCTGGGGGCGTGGGGTGCGTGTGGCTCTGCACCACCTGGCTGCCGTGGGGCTGCACGGGCGCGGGGTGGTGGTGGCCACCGTGCACGGCGGCGATGGCCGGGCCGTGGCTGCCCGAGCTCTGCGGCACTGCCGACACCTGCCAAGGCAAACAGCGCGTCAGGCACGGCCCCGGGGCACAGAGCAGACAGCAGAGAGCCTCCCAGACACAGCAGGACACTCAGGGAAGGAGAAGGCAGCTGGTTTGAGCTTCAGCCATGACTGTTAACAACTGTGCTCAACCGACTCCAAACAACTCTCATCCCATCCTCCAAATACAAGAAAGCCCTCCCTGCAGACACATGCCCCCAGCCTGCACACTCACTGCCTGTCCAGTATGTCCCCTGACATAAAGACCTGGAAAAGGAGGGTAAAATGGAATTTTTTTATCTGGCGAGAGTCAAGGTTCTCTCCTTTCCCTGCATGTCACAAGTAATAATCTGAATGAATGAATCTACGTTCTTGATAATTCAGTTTCAGTACTGAAAGTCAAATTGTGGCTCTCTGGCATCAGCAGGCTCAGGGGAAAACCCAGCTTGGTATTTCCCCTAGAAAACCAGGGAAAGAACAGAAAGCATGCGCTTTTGGGACTTCTTCATACCGCAGACCAGGAAAATTTCAATTTGGAAAATCGTCTTCACAAACCCAGTTTTCCATCCAAGCCTCTTTCAGATGGGACATACTTAATTTAATCCTCATGAACAAAATATGGTTTGCCTGATGGTCCATCTAAGTTCTTTTTAGGAAGGACTGCCAGTATCAACACACCCTCTTCCAGCCCTTGCAAGGGTCTGCCTGCAGCTCTTCAGCTCTATGGCTGCCACTATCAGGGTGAATATCCTTTCTGCAGAAGCAAGGATGAAGCTGTGTGTAAAATCAGGCACTAGACAGGGAGAGCAGCTCACCAGCAACACAAGTGTGGAAGATTAAACATGCCAGAAATGTGGCAGAGACAAATATCCCACAAATAGGTGTCAGTGAAAGAGCAGGGAAAGGCTATCTCCAGTGTACTCTTAAAAAGATGTTTTTTTCCCTATTCCCAAGTGCCAGCTCCTTGTAAAGGAGGCAAGAGAGGGAAGAGTGCCACCTAATGACTCTGGGGTAATGTTTTACGAAACATTTCAATTTTTCTGAAAGTCTTCAATCTAAATGCTGATTTAGTCTGTTAAGCTTAAGATCACCCAAGATACCACATGTCTTTTACAGCAGCAAACCTTTTCCTGCTGCAAAACAGAAAAATGGAGGGAAAACCCTCCACAAACCTGACTCTGTGATTCAGAGACCAGGTTTGAGAGAATCACTACAAGAACCGTGTTCAAGAAAGCCAAGTCACACCATGTTGGTTCATGAATGAAGCCAATAAAGCAAGTATTGACAACGAGACGTACATGGTCCGATTTTTAAAGGAAAACCCCGGTTACCAAAACAAAAGTGTAAAATACGGAACTTTACGGTGTCACAACGGGGTGCTGGCTGGCCAGGGAGCTGAAGGCTGAGCACACACACCTGGTAGCTGGGAGTTACAGAGTACTGGATCCCCGTGGCTGACTGCATGGTCTCGGAAACCGCCTCATAGACCGGCGGGGCCGGGGCGAGCACGCGGTGCTGGTGCGGGAAAGCCTCGGTGCTGCTGGTGATACGTCTCTGCTGCGACGCATACACGGGTGACTCCTGCTCATCCAATCGCCGCTTCATGCTGAACTCATGCTCGGGAAGCACCACAAAACCTGGGGAAAGCACACTGGTTAGCACGGGGAATTGATCCTCCTGTGCCACGGGTGATGCACAGAGCACCGCGAGCAGGCACAGCGAGTTTCTGTCCATTTTGGTGCTGGTATCTTGCAAAAGGAAAGTGGAATTAAAGATTTAGCTTTCAGCACAAAACATGCAGCCGTATCTCAGCGCAAAAAGTACAGCCTTATTGTTGTAGTAACTTGGAAGTTAAGGATTTCTTCAGTCTCACCTAAAGGATGTTGCTAACACACAGACCCCGAGCAATGCGGAGCTCGTGAATGCAGTATTTGAATACAACAGGCTGGGGGGAAGGATGTGTTACCTATACACCGTTTATACTGACAACAGGAAAAAAAACCCTCTTGGACAGTCCAGGTAGGGTGACAGCCATGAGAGATGCTAAAGGATGTTGTTAACACACAGACCTGGAGCGATGCAGAGCTTGTGAATGCAGTGTTTGAACACAACAGACTGGGGAAGGATGTGTTACCTACACACCATTTATACTGAAAACACAAAAAAAACCCCCCTCTTGGACAGTCCAGGTAGGATGACAGCTGTGAGAGATGCTAAAGGATGTTGTTAACACACAGACCTGGAGCGATGCAGAGCTTGTGAATGCAGTGTTTGAATACAACAGGTTGGGGGGGAAAGATGTGTTACCTACACACTGTTTATACTGACGACACAAAAAAACCCCTCTTGGACAGTCCAGGTAGGATGACAGCTGTGAGAGATGCTAAAGGATGTTGTTAACACACAGACCTGGAGCGATGCAGAGCTTGTGAATGCAGTGTTTGAACACAACAGACTGGGGAAGGATGTGTTACCTACACACCATTTATACTGAAAACACAAAAAAAACCCCCCTCTTGGACAGTCCAGGTAGGATGACAGCTGTGAGAGATGCTAAAGGATGTTGTTAACACACAGACCTGGAGCGATGGAGAGCTTGTGAATGCAGTGTTTGAACACAAGAGAGTGGGGAAGGAAGGATGTGTTACCTATACACTGTTTATACTGAAAACACAAAAAAACCCCTCTTGGACGGTCCAGGTAGGATGACAGCTGTGAGAGATGCTTTAAAACATGGGGAAAAAGCAGGATGCAGAATCAGAGTTTGAATTCCCTTACAAAGCCCTAAAGCATTTAATACATGTGTGTTAAACACACTTCATGTGTAACTTTGGGGAAAGACATAGATCTACTATGCTAGGAGTATTTTGGGTCCCACATGCACACCTGTGGTCCTGCCAGCACCCTGGCCCCACTCAGAAGTTGGATTCCTGCCTGCCTGCCAGGGAGCACAGATCAGCTGCTCCCTCACTTACTTCCCTGTATTTTTTTCATGCTCCTGCCCAACCTCAAGTTGCTTTTCTGCAACTTGATTTCACCTCAAACCCAACAGGTCATTCTGCCACTGTCCCACTCCAAAAGGAGCCATGAATTCCTGGCTCTGTTGGATGGAACTAGTCATCCCAGTACTCCTTACTGCAAGCACATTCCAGTGCTGTTTTCTATCCATTGATAGTTATTGCCATCCTTGAGATGTTATCTGCTGTTTATCAAAGGCACAGGCAGCCTGTTAAGATGTTGGAAGGACAGAAAACAGTGAAACCATCCTCTTCTGCTTCAGGATCTCTCCAAAGCAAGACCTTTTCAGTTCAGTGCAGCCAAGACACACTCATTGCTAAGGCAAGCACATGCATAAATGAGAAGGAATGATGTTCTCCCAAAATAATGGTACAGCAGCCAATCCCCATCTACCAAGTCAGGACAGCTCTACACAGTCTAAATCTGTCATTAATCAAATAACCCAAAGATCATTAACTGATACCTTACATCAAATATGGAAACAGGAATCAGCAGGACAAAGGTGCAAGTTTTCCTCTCCATGACATAAAATATGGAAAAGATTTGGAAAAATTTGTTTTGGAAAGGACCTTAAAGATCATCTCCTTCCATTCCCTGCCATGGGCAAGGACACCTTCCACTGTCCCAGGGTGCTCCAAGCCCTGTCCAACCTGGCCTCAGACACTTCCAGGGATGGGGCAGCCACAGCTGCTCTGGGCAACCTGTGCCAGGGCTTCCCCAGCCTCAAAAGGAAAAAATTCTTCCCAGTACCCAATACAAACTCTCCCTATTAGTCCCACCTTTCACTTGGAGAGGGTAGGACAACAAGGAAGATAGCTTAATTTATTTTTGAAGTTACTGTTCAAGTTTAACCTCTCAAGAGCTCCCCAAATCACCTGGCAGGTCACAGACAGGAAGCAGAGGAGGACTCCTTGCTCAAAGTAAAGGGGAAAGCTCATCAGCTGAATGATAATTTCAAGTTACAAACCCTAAGTAAGCCTGACCCCCAGCACACACTCAGCAGAGGAACACACTCCAGGAGCTCACTTCTCTAGTGCTGCCTGCACTGGTTGTGCCTGCACTGGTTGTCTGCTGATAAATGAAGAGCCAGGAAGGTTAACATGGAGCTACTCCCCTCATGGAGCTACTTCTCTCAGGCACACACCACATTTCACTTTACAAAACCAGAGTTTTATGCTAATGAGGCTGGGACTAAACTGAGCAAATCTGGCCTCACACCATCCACCCACGGGCAGAGCTGGCCAGGATTTTGCATGACAATGGCTGAGTGTATGAGTAAAGTCTGGGCAAAGCTTTGGTGGCAGCTATTCACAACCTACTCACCTACTTGGATACCCTTCTGCTCTGAACCCTGCTCCCTCAGCCAGCCCTGCCACTTGCTCTGACCTCCCAGGCTGGCTCTCCCCTCATCCTTTCAATATTGTTGTAGATCCACGTGGTGTGGTGGCTGCTCAGTGTCCCACCCTTGGGTCTCATTTCCCAGAGCAACACTCCACACTCATCCCCTCAGATGGGCTCACCAGCCCCTGAAGCAGAGGCTGTTTGAGGGCAGAAGATGGCTGGAAGACTCACGTGTCCTTAGGAGGATTAAAATGCCACCTCAAGCTGTCTGAGAAGACTTTTCCCCATGAAGATACCACAATCCTTGGCCTGTGAGGCCACAGAAATCATGACCCCACCAAGGATCCATCACCAAGAGCCAGGAAGGTTAACATGGAGCTACTCCCCTCATGGAGCTACTTCTCTCAGGCACACACCACATTTCACTTTACAAAACCAGAGTTTTATGCTAATGAGGCTGGGACTAAACTGAGCAAATCTGGCCTCACACCATCCACCCACGGGCAGAGCTGGCCAGGATTTTGCATGACAATGGCTGAGTGTATGAGTAAAGTCTGGGCAAAGCTTTGGTGGCAGCTATTCACAACCTACTCACCTACTTGGATACCCTTCTGCTCTGAACCCTGCTCCCTCAGCCAGCCCTGCCACTTGCTCTGACCTCCCAGGCTGGCTCTCCCCTCATCCTTTCAATATTGTTGTAGATCCACGTGGTGTGGTGGCTGCTCAGTGTCCCACCCTTGGGTCTCATTTCCCAGAGCAACACTCCACACTCACCCCCTCAGATGGGCTCACCAGCCCCTGAAGCAGAGGCTAGCTGAGGGCAGAAGATGGCTGGAAGACTCACGTGTCCTTAGGAGGATTAAAATGCCACCTCAAGCTGTCTGAGAAGACTTTTCCCCATGAAGATACCACAATTCTTGGCCTGTGAGGCCACAGGAATCATGACACCACCAAGGATCCATCACCACACACACACCAGCAGCACGAACATCAGTTTTTGAAGCTCCCAATTCTTGCAGGCCAATTGTACAATCTTCCAAAAATTTAGTTTGCTGTGTGGTTGAAATTGAAACTTTTGTAAAACAAAACTTAAAACTCATGTACATTCATCTTCCCTCTGAATTCCCCTCACCTTCACCGACTGAGCTTGGACACTGCTTTTATCCAAACACCGGAGCTGCTTCAGCTGTGAAATTCTGTATTTTATATATATATATGTATGTGATAGTCAATAGTAGCAGTCCATCTTCCCAGATAACACCACACTAACTCCCACCAAGGGTCTGCAACCCACTGAGTAAGAGTATCTCACAGCAAACCAGCCCTTAATGAAGATTGCTAATTGACAGGCTTTATTAATCCTAGCAGAGAGATGGTCTCAAAGCTCTGCTGTACCCAGACAGAGACTAGTGATGGTAACTCTGCATCCACCACCCAAACCAGAGAGAGGGGAAAGCAGACCAGCCCCACAACAGTGACTGGTCTGCATGCTGCAGGAGGAGATATGATGCTGAATGGTCCCAAAGTGCATTTGTTTCCTCACTAAAGTCCTGCTAATCTTGACCTGGCATCTCCCACCAATCTCCTCTGTTCAAAAGCTGGAGATCTGTCCTGCAGAAAGTCCTTCCCCTCCTACAGCCCACGAAAAAGATGAGGAAGGAACAATGACATGAAACCCAGGACTAGACATGTCATTTTGAACTGATTTAGCCAAAGCATGCTGCTCAAAGGGGCAATTCCACCCACTTCCACCCCCAGTAACAACTGATTTTTCCTTAATGATGGCAAAGCCCAGCTATGGGAAAGGTATTTTGAGAATAAGCACACAACATCAAAGACTTGTACCAAGAGTTTTCCCTCCACATTACAAACAATACTATGCTTATGCATCATCTCAGAAATGCAGCACACATCTCTGGCATCCCCTCATGGACTTTGAAGTGCAGATTTAGAGAGCCCCAATTCAAACTGCAACATCTGTAACCTTAATTTGAGGGTTGAAAAGCCCTCAAAATGCAGCAGGGACTGAAAGTCACAAAATTCAGGTACTTTCCTTTGTTAAAAGCATTAACAGGATACACGAAGGAGATCTTAGCTCCACCTGAGCAGACCAAGTCAAGGATTTAATTCTCTTTCCCTAGCAGCATTTCTACCCAAACTCCCTTTTAACTCCTTAAAAGGAGCACACTTCATTCTGTCTAGGGGAGGATGAAGACTATTGGGGTTTTTTTCCTGAGTTTTTACATTTTTAAATGTAATTTAAAAGGGAGTTTTTTGCAGGAAATGGGGGCTACATGGGAACACACCTCTAAATCTTCCCTGTGCCACAGGTAGGATGCATCAGGCAGATACACACACAGACACAGGATCTTCAGCTGGTAAAGAAAAGGAAAAATGAAGAAAAGCTATGTGCATCTCAGTAAGAATGCTAGAATTATGGAATTTTACCTCACCAGCTTCATCAGAGGGTTTCCCCATCCACCTGCCCCACATGAGCTGGGGGGACAGACAAGGGCAAGAGGAGCACATCCCTTTCCCTCTGGTACTGAGGAAAGCAGAGGAGGGGCAGCACTGACACAGGAGGAGAAGGAACAAAGAGGGGACAAGGCTGGAGTCACTTGGAGGAGCATTGCAGGGCTGCTCACTGCTCCATAGGACAGAGAGCCCAGGTGCTCTCCTTCTCCATCACAAAACCGCCTCTCTGGTGGCAGCTCTGCTCCCCAGCATTTTACCACATAATATCCCAAAAATCTCCATTATTTCTATCACAGGTTTTCCCACCAGATAAGCAGGGTCTTCAGGCATTGGAGATCAGCTGGTAAAGTTAAAAGAAAAAGCAAAATAGAGACTAGGAAGAAAGCAAATTGGGAAGGTGCACTGCCTCACACCTGTTGGAAGCCCAGCACACCTGTGGATAAACACCACCTCCACCAAGGAGCTGTAAAAGATCCACTGGAGAGGATTTTGATCCCTCTGAAAAACTGCAGGGTCTGTAGAGGATCTAACACACATGAGAGCTTTTTAAAAGGTTTTCTTTTGAGGGAGAGAGAGGTCAAAAGCAGGGAGCAGCACGTGTAAGTGTCAGCTCTGCTCCCGGAACAGTGACGGATGTCCTGCAGGACACATCCCACACGGATTACAGAGGAGTGCACAGCAGTGCCTGCTGAAAGGAGCCAGCTCAGGTTCCAGCAGTGCTGCTAACCCAGCCACACGACTTCCAGAACATGACCCAGCTTGTTCAGCAGTCACTGCCACACTTTGTTTTTACGGTGCCACGCAGCCCTGCAGCACAGGGATAACCCCTTGGCCACGCTACAGAAAGGCACATCTAGGAGCAGAGCGTCATTCCAAAACGAAATGAGAAACATCCTTAGAAAAAGGTGCTGGAAAAGCACGACCTGAAGCTTTGGGAGCAGTTGGGAGAGTTTTCTGCAGGGTGACATCGTGCCAGCACTCACCAAGAGGCAGATGGGACACAAAAAAACCCCACTTGTCCAGATGGGAACAAGTTGGTGAGGCACTGATCCCTGCTTTGCCAAAAAGTGGCCCAGGTGCCAAACCCCACTGCAGACACGATCCAAAACATGCTCTACAGAGCTTAGAGCATTTTTCTGCCCTGTTCCCTGAGTGCACCTACCCCATGCTCACAGAGAATGATCAGAATCCTGTGATTTAACCAAATGAAAAAAGAAAATACCTCGGCGAGGCTGGAAAAAGTAGCATGGTCCCAAAAGCACTTCAGCCCAGGCTGAAGTGACAGCTATTACAGGGCTCTTTCTGCTCCAGCTCCAACAGCCATAAAAGCTTTCCAATGCCGGAGAAGTCCAGAACAGCAATCTGGACAGAAAACGATTCATAAATCCTGGAAACGTAAATGATCCGCCTGCCAATTCCAACACGATGCTCCCAGCCCCAGGACCCACACGTGCCAGGAGCCTGAGCAGAGGGCTCCCCTGGCAATCCGGGCTGGGGCCAGGGGGAGAGCATCCCCCTTCCCCACACCGCTCACAAAACCAGCCCGAAGCTGCCAGACTTTCCCCAAACTTGAGCAAATTAGTGCTATTTTTTTGGATGAACGACCACGTTGCAGCATCTCAAACTAATTCATGCTGAGACCATGTGTCTTCACCAGCAGCAGAAGGTGGGAGGGATGAGGTTAAAATACTTTGGGGGGGAGAAAGCACGATTTCCTTTTGCAAAGAGCGCACCCATGTGAAAAACTGCTAACTTCACCTCAGCAGGGGAAAAAAAAAAAAAAAAAAAGACCCTAAAAAGTGGTTTTCTGTGCTTGGAGATCCACCCCAGGCTGACACCAAGCTGCCAAGGCACTTTATGTGATGAAGGAAGTTTTACAGATGCTTTAAAATTAGTGTATTAAAATAAAACGCCATTTTAATTTAAAATACTGCACTATATAGTTAATCCTATATAGCAATGTTTACTTTTCTGAAAGTGTATTTTTAAAAATAATTACAAGTTAGGAGTGGAAAATGGCCAGTGCAGATACAGCTGCACTGAATTAAGTCGGGCATTTCCCACTTGTTTACTGAGCCTGCACCTTTTAGCACAACTAAAAGCGGCAAGTTAAAAGAGAAACATGAGGTGTTCTGTCAGCCTTAAGCTACACTTTAACACACAGACCAGGTTTAAATTCCTCTGGACAGTGTGGGAGACTGAAAATCCACGCAGAGATGGAGATGTCTCTGATAATTAGTTTAAAATAGAGCTGACACAACCAATTTTACCCCATTTCAATGGTCTAAATAAGTAAGTTTCCTCAGGGATGTAACTCCTATCTGAGCACACGTGCTATTCACACAAATAACGACTGTTAAAATTCAAGACTGGGTCTGAACCCAGGCCAGGAAGAGGCAAAAAAACCAGGATTTAGTTAGGCAGACACAAAGCAGAGTCATGCTTTTAAAGCTACCTGAACTTCACCAGCCTCCTATATCAAAAAAACCAAAAAAAATGAAGTATTTTCTATGGACATACAACAGCCTGAAGAATTTAGAAAAGGGGTGAAACAGTAATGTAAGCGTGTGCCGAGCTCAGAGCAGGGGAGCACGGGCGCTATTAGATGCGGCTCGCTTTTAGATCGCAGGACAATCAGTGCGTGCCCGAGGAGCTCGGGGTGTCCACGCCTGCTCCAACAGGTCCTTCGGGAGCGCGGAGCCGCGCTCGGCCACGCCGGCGGGGCACGGCACGGCACCGCGCTCCCACGGCAGCTCCGCCGGCACCGGCAGCGCCGCGCCGCCCCCGGCTCCCGGAACGCCCCCC